GGGGGGGGGTACGTGTGTGTGTGTGTGTGTGTGTGTGTGTGTGTACACATGAACTCATCCTGCGCCTGCGCACAGGGGCCCTCCCAGCCTTCAGGTGATCTTCTGCCCCCAGGTGATCTGCTGCTCCAGCACACACCTAGACTGGGCAGAGCCTAGCCACACAGGACCCACAGGCACAGACCTGGGAGCTGAGCAAGTCCCTACAGAGTCAGCCAGTTACAGTGAAGCAGGTGTGATCGGCCGCTACTGCCCTTGAGGCTCCAGCCACAGAGTGGAGTTAGAATGGAGATTGGGAAAGGGGACAGCTGTCAAAGTTGATGAGTTGTCGGTGGTCTGAAGATCATTCCTCTCTCAGAAAGGCGAAGTTACAACACTTCACTGCTTTTCTTTCCACCTCCTTCTGGATGTCTAAGGTGAAGCGCTTTACTCTCTTCTCCAGCTCAGAGGCTGAGAATGGTGTGGATGAGAAAAAGAAGGCCTACAGGTCATCAGCAGCCCAGTCCCCTACCTCATCCATGGAGGCTGAGTCCCCAGACCAGAAGAGAAGCATTTGCCTGCGGTAAGTCTTGGCTGGGCCCATTGTTCTCCGGGTTGTGAGAAGTGCTGGAGTTTCAAGTTTTATGGTTGTTGTTAAGGGTGAGACTCAACTGTAGGTAAATAAAAGGCACTCAGGCTTTCCATCTGCTCTCTTCCTGGCAGCAGCCTTTTCTTCTCCTGCCCCAGTCTTCTACAGAATGTCTCCCCTTTCTGAAAGCCTGATTCTGCTGAGATGAAGCCGGGAAGGCCACTCGCAGGTGTAGATTAGGAAGCCCTGGGAAGGCTGGACAACGTGAAGAGCCTGCTCAGCCTCTGGGTGTACACACCTGGCCACCTGCTTTCCCGGGAGCCACAGAGAAGAGCAGAGGAGAGCCTTAGAGAGGCCATGGTGTCCTGTGACTGGGACGCCTGGTTTGGTTGAGGACCAGCAGAGAAGTAATTTGGAGATGTGCGACTATAGTCCCATCACTCTTAGAGGCACCAGCTATCAAGCAAGGTCTTAAAGTTGCTTTTTAGCCCTTTAAAGAGAGTAACAAAACTAATGGTCAGTGATGGCTAAAGGGGAGTTTTTATTTACTTTGATTTTTTTTTTACAGCATTGAGGGTTGAGCCTAAGGCCTTGAACATGCTAAGCAAATGCTGTGCCACTGAGCTACCTCCCCTGCCCTAAATGGTGGTTTTTTTAATCTCTGCTGAGGAGTGGTTGCTCTCCTTCCCCGTTATTAGAACTAGAACTGCTACTTCCTCCCTCCTTTGGCCTCTGCTAAGAGACAGTTAACTAATTCATGCTTTTCACTTCTTTCCTGGCTCCCCGGCCCATATTTTCTCTCGAACTGTGTACTCCATTCAGGACCAAGCGTAAGTCCTAACTCTTCCCCCAAATTTCCCCCTTCAGACTCCTCCAATTCCTGCCTGTCCATCCATCTTTTTGGATGCCTGTTTTGTGGCATCTTGCTTTTTGCCATTTTTTCTATAGCTGTTTTTTACCAGAGAATCCTGCCTCATTCACCAAATGAGTTTCTCCAGAGGGCACAAAATGAGTTGTTTCATGTGTCTCTCACCCCTGTTGACTATCTGCAGCAGTCAGCTTGCACACATTGGCTTTACCCCAAGTTCCCCGTATTCTTATGAGAACTGTACACACATCAATAGTACATGTGTGGAAACTGCATGGCACACACATATGCCTTCAGAGAGGGCCCTGCACTAGATTAATGCCCTGTTCACAACGCCTAGACATTCTTAATAAGTTAGTGTAAGAGAACCTATACTTTCATTTTGCAGAGGGCTCCAGTCCTGCTCATAAGCACCTGTAGGAAGTGAGGCACCCAAAGAAATCACTACTGTGTAAAGAGGTCAGTAACTGCTGTGTCTTTGAGATTATCAAAGATAGAGCTGCTCTACTTGGCACCTGTGCCCACAGTTCACAGTTCTTCAAAAGATCTGACCATGTCCTTGCCAGTTCCATTAATACTTGAATCAGTAGAGGTCATACATTCAAATTAGTAAGTAGTATGAATAACTTGGAATTTGGCATTTGTAAAAAATAATTATTTTCATGTAGAACACAAATGTTTACTCATATTTTCAAAAAAGCAATCTGTAGAATTCCTAGGGAATTTGTATCTATGAATAGGCTCAAGGCCTGTAACTGAAATCAAATCCATTTACCCTAAATTGCTGAAAAGAATCACTTCTCGGCCTTTTGGCTAAGAGCAAGTGTAAATTGCTGAAAAGACTTTACCTATGAGTTGATATTGTGACATGGACTATTGGAAGGAACCTAGGACATTATACGGTCCATCTTGTCACAGCAGAGAAAACCAGCACCTAATGTCTCTCAAAGGTTGGTCATTTATGCCTCTCCATGGCACTTGAATGACTTCAGAGTCTTCCTAAATTGAACTATGTACCAGAACCTTGTTTTAAGGAATAATAATATAGAATCATAGATTTCATGGGTACCATTTCCCCAATAAACAATAAGACAGGTACACAATTATAAAACCTGTTCATATACATATCACTTCTAGAAATCATACACACATTCCACTTTGAAATGACAGTTTGGGCTGTAGGATTGAAGAGATATGCAAATTCACACACCTACTTCAGTGGAGAGCCAGGACCATAGTCACCTTAGAGGAAATTCTGGAGCTCTGACCTCTGCCTATAACAGGTCAGACTTGAATTTAAGCAAGCTCCTTCTTACTTCCTTTTATTTTCTTTCGTTTTTTTTCTTCCCTCCTTCTTTGCTTTCTTTTTTCCTTCTTCTGATTTCACTTTTATTATTTTCCCAACCTTGTGTCTCTTCCTCATACCCAATTCCTTGCTCGTCCTGTTAGGCCCTGTGTATTAAAGCCATGCTGTTTTGTTGGTCTCTTCTCTTGCCTCTTAGACTTATTGTCTCCATACCTCCTCCCAACTCCAGTGATATGCATTGCCAAATCCTCACTGCCTTTTTAGACTATGTTTGATGCATGTGTACACAGGCTGCCTAAGAATAAAGACAGCCTTATGTGCCCAAGGCATTTAGCACAATGCCCCCACTGAATTCAATTAATACTTGTTAAATATTAATAGGTTCTGAAACAAAAATATTCTTTGATTGAACTATAGCTGCAATTTAGTAATTTGCCTCAACAAACCTCTTTACACAGATTCAAATACTTTTTAAATAACACTTTTAAATAATATAATTATTTGCACATCTCAATTGCTATTTCTGCAGTTTGTGATTAGTTTGCAGATGCCATCTCAGCCCCTACAATATGTGCTGTGTAAATGCCCTTAGAGTATCACAAATGATTATCCAGAAGAGAAAAACAAATGCTAGATTTTCTCGTGACATGGTATAATAACTGAGATTTATTACAATAATGATTGACATAAGCAGTTCATTTTATAATCTCCCTGGATTTTATTTCCCTAGGTCAAAATCCAGTTTTGATGGTACCTCTTTAGCAGGTGACAAGAATGACTGTAAAACAGAAAGCAAAAATGACCCTAAGACTGAAAGGAAAAAGTCTTCATCTTCCAACCAGGTAATAGGAATGGAAAGTATGTTGTCTCAGAGGGTGACAATTGTTGGAGCCACTGGAAAGAAAGAACCCAAGCATGCAACTTCCTGCTGGTCAGAGCTAACATAGGCATTAAGTTTACAGAATTTAGAAAATCAGATAGCCAGCAATTCCTCTGGTCAGTTTTTCTTCAATATTAGGATCTAACTCTGACAAGTACTCAGACAGCAGAGACCAGCACAGTCATGGACTTGTCTAATTAGCAGAAAGGGAAATGGGACATTCTTATATTCAAATTATGGAGTCTGATAAACCAGCTGCTCAAAGAGAATGAAGACCTATGAGCAGGGTTGTGAATCTTCAGAAGTAATTTTATTTCTGAAAAGCACAGTTCTGTCATAGAGTGTGATATATTTACTGGGCCAGGAATGTAGAAATTTTAGTTTTAGTTGTAAGAATTGAACCCAAGGCCTCCCACATGCTAAGGACATATTTCACCTCTGAGCTACATATCCTGAGGTTTTTTGCTCTTGTTGTTACTTTTTGACACATTACCCCTTTATACTTGAATATGTATCTCCTAAAAACTAAAATAAGTAAATAAATAAAAACTGTTGAAACATCCATGAAATTTAGCTAAATATCAAATTATTTGAAGTTCCACAGTTATCATAGTTTTTTAAAAAATCTCCTTTATAAAAGTTTTCATTGTTTCCTTCTCCAGGAATCAATCAAGAGTCAGGTATTTATTTGTCATGTCAATTTTAATTTATGTCAATCCAGTATCTTTTAGGGGGAGGAGGGGGAAGGCATTTATTACATTGACATTTTTGAAGAGTCCATAGCATAGGATATTTTAAACCATGCTCCATAGCCATTAAAAGTTTCAGCGAAGCCCCCACTGAAAACATAGCTTTCCTCAAGGTACTTTTCTGGGTGCCAAATCTACTCCTAGGTGCAGCATGAGTTGAAATACTTTAACAAGGTGTTTATAGAATAAACTTTTGGGAACCATCTATTATTTTGATGACCTGGTCTGTAGCTTTTTTTAAAAAAAAAAACAGCAATTATCAGACCAGTTTTGCCATAGAGACCATTCCTATTTGGATCATAAGCCATCAAGGGCCTGTACATATATCTATCTGTTTCTCCTTCCAGACTTCTTCTTTGAAAGCCTCCTGGGAAGCAGAGTAATCCTGCGGAGGGAGGACCTCGCTCTGCCTCCTAGTAGCTCTGTGGCAGGGGCTGTGGGACTCTGATCCCAGCACAGTGTCCTAACCCCTGGAATGGGACACCAGGTTCTCAGTAGGAAGAGGATGTTGTGAAAGCGTTTTGCAAACTATAAATTGCTGTCTACCCATTATTGTTGTCATTGTTGCAGAGACAGATGCCTTGAAAATGAAACAATTTGTAACATTTCAGATTCTTGGGCCTTCTACTACTCTGGGAGTTAAGTCTTTTGTATGAAATCCTACTTGTCTGCTTCTGTGGTCTTGTCGCTGCTTAAGCAAATGCCTTCACAGCATCACAGTAGTGACCACACTGTCCCAGGCAGTGGCTTCTTTTAATGTGTTATCTCACAGAAGCCTGTGGCATCCCTCCTAGCAGGTTGTGTTTTTGCCCACTGGTACAGAAGAGGAAACTGAGGCACAGAGATGTTAGTGATCAGCCCCTGGTTCACACTGAAGAAGAGATAGAGCCAGGAGTTGATTTAGGTTTTTTCAGTGTGAAGCCTTGAACCCCTGTACTCTTCTGTGGGTACACACTTGTATCTCCAGTGCCCTGCGATACAGCACCTTCACCAGTTAGAATCTTTAGCATTTCCTGCCAGAGCCCGCAATATTGATTATGCCCAAAATATGCTGAAGGCAGTGCTGGCTGCAAAGAGTTAAATCCCTCAATTGGCTTACTTTAAGAAACGAGTCTGACTGAAGCTGCGTGACTCACAGAAGTATCTCATGAGCAATGCAGTAGCGAACAGATTAACATGACCTCCCCGCTCACGGCCACAGCCGAGGCCAGAGTAATGGCCTATGAAGCTGTGGGGCTAATATGAGATAACATCCATAGCTGAGGTCGGAGTAATCGCACCCAAACTCCATTCCCACAGTTAGTGCCTTCATAGCTTGAAGGACAATGCTCTAATTATAACCATATATTTTGTCTATCTTGCTTCTAATTTGAAACTGCTTTGACTTCTCTTTAAATCCTTGTCTGCATTAGTTTCCATGGTAATTTCACATACTGCACATCTATACATGCACCTTCACCCTGATTAATGAATAATAAAATTCGGTGGAAGAGACGGGCCAGTGCCTTTTGCCAAAGGAGCATTGGTCATCCCAGTCCACACTTCTTCTTCAACCCTGCATCACACACTGGGCAGGTAGGGACTAGAGACTTACTGCAGGGGTCTCTGGCAGTTTCCTCTTGTTTCTTACCGGAAATACCCTTGTCCTGCCCTGTTATTTCAGCTGACCACCCGCTACACCCTGTAGCCACCCAGCAAGGCATTAAACATATTTGAAAATGAAATCTCTGTACCCCAACTTTTATTGTGTCTCAGCGAAGGGTATGTTGGAGACTTAAAAAGATTAGAGAGGATGAATTCTTAAAAACAGTGTGAAGGGAGGAAAAATTTGTTATTTAATTTAAATTGGAGTTAAAATTTATAACGTATAACAATAAAACGTATAACAATATCTGTGTTCTGTTCTCCTTGTAGTATAAGGCAAACATGCACTTTCACAAGTTGTTTCTTGATGTCCCAACTGAGGAACCACTGAGGCAGAGTAAGTTCTGACATGTTTGACTTTCCAAGCTATGTGTTTGAAAAGTTGACTCATTAGCTTGGGAGAAGGAGAGCATGTTCTGGGGACCCAGTTACTGAGGGGAGTAGGTTTCTGCAGGGAAGAGATCGTGTGGTAATAATGGTGACTGCAGTCTCTTTCACCAGGCATTTTGAAAGATAAGAGTATAGACCAAGACACTGAATTTCTTCTCATGATATGGCCTCTTGCAGGTGGTTTCAGAATGATCCTTTTGCCTTTTGTATTTATTGCTGAAATGCCTAAGATTGAATCATCCTGCACTTTAGAATAACAAGCCTGGGGCAAGAGAGGCCTAATAGAAGAAGGTTAAAAGGAAAAACAGGTCTAAGTGGAGATATATGTTTCCCTGCCTGTGCTATGCAGGATATGGCAGTCACACTAAACGCCTTCCCAGTGAGCCTGGGACCTGAGGTTTACTTACTGCCTCTCTCAGTATACAAACATTAAGATAAAGTGCTGGATTCCTGCTGTGATCTCTAGGGAGAAAGTGCAGTTATGTGTCCTTCCCCTGTGAGACCAAGTGATTCATTAGTGAATCCTGAGTGAAGCTCCCTAGCAAAAAAGGACCAGAAGGAAGTGCTGATGTTTGCAAGAGGGTAACACGCCTTCTTCATCAGAGTAGGCTTCTGAAGTATGTGTCTTGGTTTCTCATGCACAGTGTTAGGCTTCAGTATTGAGTCTGTATGACTACTTTAAAAAACTATAGTGACCACAGCTTTAGCCCACTAGTGATAATTGAAAGGGGGGTGGTAGAGCTTTGGAGTGTATCATCCTTTCCATCCTTAAGTCACCAAAATGTAGACAATTTTTATTTTAAATAAATAATATCTAATGGAATTCTGAGTGATGTTGTTACACTTGTCTATATTCTCCCAGGCTTTACCTGTGCTCTACAAAAAGAAATACTGTACCAAGGAAAGCTCTTTGTATCAGAAAACTGGATTTGTTTTCATTCCAAGGTCTTTGGAAAAGACACAAAGGTGGGTATATATTTACAGAAGAAAGCTAATCCTGTATTTTTAAAATATAATAAATATAAATTATTTTAAATTTAGCTTATTTATGTCATGATTATGCCTTTATACCAACTTCCTTTTGAGGTATCACCAAATACTACAGATTCTAAATGCCTCCAGATGACTCTCACTTCCCTATTTCCCTAATTACTATTCTCTCTCATTTCCTTAAACCAATACACATTCTACCTCCCCCATCCCATACCCTCAGTCCCTTTACCCAAATGTCACCAGAAACACTCTGGAGTTGTTCACACAGGGAGAGTGCATAACTTGTTTTGGAGGTTTTCATTAAAACCAAAACATTTTAAAAAAGAAATATCAATCACGTCTCCTCAGCGAGCTCCTCCACCACTTGCACCTCACAGTATGAAGATACTAGCGAACTTGAAGCTCTGAAGGGACCTTCAGCCACAAGCTCTGGACTGCCTTTCTTTTCTTTTTAATTTGGGGGATAGCGTGAGATAACCATGGAGAAAGCTCTAAGATGTTATTAAAAAAAACCATTTTAAAAAAAAAGAAATACCAATTTTTGCACCATGTTCATATCGTTATCAGAGAGATGTGGGACAACGGAACTATAAATAAGCACAAATGAGCAGGAGCTGGAGCACTTAATACCTCCTGGGAGAGTCAGGTCCTACAACCCCAAGTATGCATTGATCCATCCTTTATCCGTCTGATGGATCTTTTCATTCTCATTGGACACAGATTCCATAGAGCTAGGGTGCATGACAGCCTGAGTGCAAATGAGAATTGCCTGAGGTGTTGGCAGTTTGCCCAAGGCACCACCTTCTAAAATTGTGGTGTAGGAAGAGAAAAGATTATCCCATCCTGCTGACTGATGTTCTTGCCTTTAAGTTTACAAAGGCGATCAGAATAAGTCAGAGAAATAAATGACTTTTTGAATTTGTATGACTTCAGTGGGTATTCAATCACTTGACTCATGATTGTAAATTGGCTTTTATACTCATAAAGCAGCTGATTAGAAAGTCTTTGAGTACACATACTACATTTAAATATTCTCCCTAAAGCCAATAGCAATCATATAAAGACCACTCAACAAATACTTTGGAAATCCTTCATTTTGTTGGTATTAAGGCTATAAAGTAGCATAATATTCTTTGAGTAAAACATGTTATTCTTCTATTGTTTATTATATAATGTTATAAACATTTTGATTCAAGGTATTGTCTAAATCAGTATAATGCAAAGCAATATTAAGTAGTATTCCACCATACCTCTAGATCTCTGAATTATAAGAACGTTTTCATAGAGGAGAGAAGGGGATTTAGTAGTGTTGATTAGTGTGAATAGATGGTTCTCAGGGAATTAGAGTCAACATCTCTGAGCAGATCAACACCAGTTGGGGTTGAGGACATTTTGTGAACAAAGAATTACTTGTTTTTAAGAGCTGAGGGAATTCATAGAGGCAATAAGTGCAGTTTCAAGCTAATATAATTCTAGCAATGTTTTTTAAAATCAAACTTCTTCTTAAAAGAGATGTGACAAAAAGGAGCCAAAAGGAGTGACCCCAGTTTTTTAAAGTCATAGACACCCTGGGATTGCTTTTACATGTGCTATGTCTTATCTACAAAATCAGGAGATGGAAAATTAGAAGGGCATGGGAATCAGACCCATGACTGAGAGTTATGTGTTTCCTCCCCTCTAAAGATGGTATCAAAAGAGACCTGGGCTTCAGAGATGTGGCAGAATTTCCACACTGTCTATAGACCTCCATCCAGCATGATCCAGTATAAAATGAAGGCACCCAAACAATTTATTTGCCCTAGAAGGAAGAACTTTCTAAGCACTGTAATCTAAAGCAATATTAATAAAGTGTAGCTTCACTTTAATCAGGCCCCTTTAATCAGCCAGTTATATATTCAGATGCTGATAAAATTAACATGAGTATCTCATCCCATCTAGTCTCACTGAAGAGTCATTTCATTTTCATTTCACAAGTATGATCTGGTGTGATTTTTGAACCCATGAAGCAACTGATTGCAAACTCCTTAAGGCTGTTCCAAGCCTTGGCAAAACCTAAGCTTATAGCACCTTGTCACTGTGCGTTTGTGTTGCTACTTAGAAACAAAATTAGACCTATTGGTTCCCTTAGTGTATATTAAATTCCCTTTTTTTCCAAAGTTATCCCAACTTAAGAATTCAGAATTATCTCCTGTGCTTGAAAATTTTTGTTGAGTAGAGTTCTTTGACAAAATAAGCTTTAGAAAATATCTAATTTCAATGAATCCCTCATTTTTCCATAGTCTTCCTGACTGAAACTTAGCAGGGCAGTAAGTAACCTCACCTCAGAAACCTACATGTGAATGCAGGCATTCAAAATTAAAAGCTCATTCTCTTTCCTTCACCTGGCATTACCCACACAAGGCCCACCTCTGCCCACTGACCTCGTTGATCCCTTCAGGAATACTGTATATAAGCATTTTTACAAAATAGACATTCAAGTAAGTGTGCATACCTAAGGAAGGATACAGATCTTTTCTTTTTTCCATACCTGTGTGTGACTTTATTTTCAGGGATCTAAGTGATATTGTGTTTCCTTTCAAACCTACCCTATTTGGAAGGATATAACAAAATAACCAGGAATGTCTGCTATTCTTTATGCCATCTGATTTATTTTTAACTTCTTATATGTATGACCTTTAGCAAGTCATGTATCTAAATAAATTTTATTATCTCTTAAAATACCAATTTTATAGGATCATCATAATTAAATAACATTACCATCTAATAAATAAATATTAATAATGGTAGCTTCTACAGTTATTATTGTTTTTATTAGAAGTAGAATGAACTTAGAGGGTTTTTTCCCCACCCATCTTGATTTCATGAGTCAAATGAGGAAAGTGACAAAATTCTTATTTGGTACTGGACATTTTTTATATAGTATATCATTTAATCCACAGAAAATTGTGAGTAGACAAGACTGTCTCTGACATATAAGTCAGGAAAAAACAGCCCAGAATAGATACCTTACACGTTTGCATGGGTGATGTAGATAGTAACAGAGCTGATTTCGCAGCTGAGTCTTTCTATCCACTGAGGGCTCTCCTGTACCTGTGCTTTTCAACATTTTTTCACTCACATGCACCCAACACAGAGGAGAGGGGCTTGTGGACATTAGCCCAAAGTTGGACCACAAGTGTGAAACTTCTGCAGAGTTTGGGGCTCTAATAAATGACAGTGGATGTAAATCCCCCATTCTGTTCACTTGTCTAAATAGAATGGTTTCCACCAAGACCATCAGTAGGAGTGAGGATCCCGTTATCCTCTGGCTTTGTGAATGCCAGTTTGAAGAGCTCAGTGACACCATTTATGCCACTCATTGAGATTCACTTTTTGTCATGAAGGCTTGAAAGCTTGATGCTGACGTTGATTTCTTTATATATTATTTTCTTTTTTTCCTTTAACATGTAGCTTTGAAGTGCTGTTCTGTGAAGTCTAAAACAGTATTAACTTCCTGATTGTGTTTCAGATCTCTATTCCAGCTTTCTCAGTAACCCTAATAAAGAAAACCAAAACTGCTCTTTTGGTGCCAAATGCCCTGATTATAGCAACAGTCACTGACAGGGTAAGTACACTGCAGGGCAGGGCACCGTCATTTTGTTCTCATGCTCTGAGCTCTGTTGCCTTTGGGGTTTCTTGCCAAGGACTAAGACCCTGAACCATAAATATCACCTTCTCCTATGGTAAGGGAAAGATATTCTTTAAGATTAGCTTTTAAAATTATAGACTAGAGGGCTGGAGATGTAGCTCAGCTGTACAGCACCTGCCTGGCAAGTACAAGACCCTGAGTTGTATTCCCAGTACCAGAAAAAAAAAAATTATAGACTAGAGACATTTATGTAGTATGATTTCCCTTACAAGATGATTTATTCTAATATAATTATTGCCAATTTTAAATTTCCTGCTGATTTAATTATACTTGCCTGACCAAGGTAAAAAAAAAAAAAATTCTCTCCTAACTTCCTTTCCCTTAACATCTGTTCACTCAGGGTACACTGATATATTCAATTCTCTTAATATTACTTTAAAAAGAAAAAAGAGCCAGGTGTGTTAGCACACACCTGTAATCCCACCACTTGGGAGGCTGAGGTGAGAAAATTACAAGTTCAAGTTCAGCCTGGGATATATAGTGAGACCCTGTCTGAAAAATAGCAAAAAAAGATTAAAAAAAAACAAAAGATAAGACCAGTGACAACCTTGCTGACGAGCTGAGGCAGGGTGATTCTGAGGACTCGTGGGGTGGAAGTGGTCGGCCTCCCCCTGACCTCTGCAGGTACCTCCCTAAAGCATGAATGAAGCTCATGCCTGCTCTGCAGTGGCAGCTTCAGGGTCAGTTCTGAGACCCACTTTGCTGCCAGATACCTGAACAACTACTCTTCCATCCAGAAACTCTGGAGCTATTGTTGACTATTAGGGTGTCCCAGATGTGTACAAGCAGAGATATTACCTCTGAAAGTGGCATTTATGGACTGAGTGTGTGGCTTAGTCGTCGAGTACTTGCCTAGTGTACTTAAGGCCCTGGGCCCAATTCCTTAGCACTGCAAAAAATGGAAGAGGGACAGGGATGGGGGCAGTGAAGGAGGGAGAGAGAGAAGGAGAGGAGAAAGGAAGAAAGAAAAGTATTAATCTCAGCTTGACAGAAGAAAGGGAGTGGAGTAGTTGGTTGCTCATTTTTTTGGTTGAAATCATTTAATCTTTTACCTACTGTTTTTATGAAGGCATAAAATCTATGTTCCATTTCTAACCACACTAGATACCATATAGAGAGAATAGGGGAGATAGAAAGATAAGAGAGGCTATACTGATAAGCTAGAAAATAACTTAATATGCCTATTTTAAGTTTTCTTTTTCTTTTTTTTTTTTTTTTTGGTACTGGGGATCAAACTCTGGACCTTGCGCTTGCGAGGCAGGCGGCAGAACCACTGAGCTAAATCCCCAGCCCTTGAGTTTTCTTTTTAAAACAAGAATCAAGAACTGCTTGCCAGGCATACATCAAGCGCTTTCTTTATGTTTTCTCATTAATTCTATACCACCACCCTATAATGGAAACGTTCTTAAGCAGTGTCCTCACCCATTTAATAAGTGTCAGAGCCAAAATTTGCAGCTCGATCTGATGCCAGAACCCACAGTGTTCACCACTTTGGAATATATCAATGTTTATTTGGAAATTGTATGGTGTTCTCTTGTTGGTGAATGGGACGGATCCTCTCAAACTCATGGAAAGGGTGTCTGAAAAGATTTCATGGCCCCATAGATGGAAAAAGAGTGAATTTTTTTATTTTTGAATGTACCATTTAGGGGAAAAAAAATTCCTTATGTCATTTTTCTCCAAAGTATTTGTCTGGCTTTTATTTTACTCTTTTCCCATAGCTTGCTTTTAAGCATCCACTAGAAAAATCTCCATATTTGTACAAGGAAGAGTCTGGAACTAGCATGAAAAAGAACTAGCCTGTCAGAGCTCCTGGGAAGATTTAATGCAAATCTAGGTCAGAGGAGAGAAAGAGACCCATGGGAATTGTTAAATACCTTTCAAATCAACGAAACTGGCTGAGGGAGAGACTTTAAAAAGGATCTAGCAAATATCACTAGACTTTTCTTCATGTTTAAGACTTTCTTATCTTTTTTCAGGCACCTTTAGACTTTTGGAACCTTCATTTTGCCCTGCATTTCTTTACTACTCTTCAATGGAGTTTAGGGGCCCGGGGATTTAGCTCAGTGGTACCACTGCCTGCTTTGCAAGCACAAGGTCCCAAGTTTGATCCCCAGTACCAAAAAAAAAATAGAAAAAAGAGTTGTGTTTGGGGTCATATTGCTGCTGTGGGGGAGTGTACTTGCTTTATTGCTGAAATGAAATAATAATTGAGTGGTTGAGTGAGAGGAATGATAATATAGACCAGAGATTGGTCTCTGTCATTTGAAAATGAAGAAATTCTATACAGATTTTTTTAACTCTAAATTCTTCTCATCAAGGAGTATCTGTTATAATAATTCTCTTTTCTTTTTCAGTACATATTTGTCTCTTTACTCTCCAGAGATTCAACTTACAAACTGCTCAGATCTGTATGTGGACACTTAGAAGTGAGTGTGACAGCCTGAGCTTCAGTTCCCGTCTTTCTTTTGTATTTTTTATGATTTTTATGGCTTTTTACGGTGGTTGATCTGGGTTTCCTTTTCTTTTTTTTTCAATAATTTCAGAATACAAGTGTTGGTAACAGTCCTAATCCATGTACTACTGAAAATGGTTTCGGGGCAAATCGCCCTTCATCTCTGCCTCTGGTAAGTTGCCTACGTAACTATGTAATCTAAATGCAAAATAACTACACTCTGCTCACACCATGACAGAAGGACTGTGGGGAGGACTTAGGACCGCTGTTTTGGGGACAGCTGAAGAAAAGGCCTGTCTCCCCAGAAGAGGGAACCATAGAAGGCCACAAGCTTTTTGCTAGTAAGTGAAAGGTGTTCTGCAAATGAAAAGAAATATGATAATAGTCTGTCCTGGTTAGTTACTAGTCACTGAAGGTATTCATGAGGTCTCGCTTTATTTGCTTGTCTTTTTTTGAAGTATTGTGGTTCATGCCCAGGGTGTCATGCATGTTTGGCAAGTGCTCTACCACTGAGCTACATCCCCAGCGATCAGTTTTGTTTTAAAAGTATTCACAAATCTCTTTGAATAAGGGCACAAGTCATCCCATAGATGTCTTCTATGTTCAAGATGCTCTACTAGTATGTACTATAGGAAACCAGGAAAAATCAAAACTGATTCTCACCTTCAAAGACTTCATAGCTTAGGAAAGCAAATGAGACAAACTCAGAAATAACTAAAAAACAGAACAAGAAAGATATAGCCAGGTATGGTGGTACACATCTATAATCTCAGCACTCCAAAGGCTGAGGCAGAAGGATCATGAATTCGAGGCCAGCCTGGGCTACATAGTGAGACTCTGCCCCAACAAACCAAGAAAGAAAGCTATAAGGCTCTAGCAACAGGTGGAGATTGTTTAAATCTTTTACGCTTTGTTGACTGAAAGGTAAATCTCCAGTGGGAAGCAGCTCCTCATTTGTACAAGATTTGTGGCTATAACAGAGCATAATGTTTTCCCACAAGAATTCTAACCATAGCACTGATTATTCCCAAATTGATTACATTAAGTGATTATTCCAAAATTGATTATTGTTAAATGTTTACCTGTAGTGAAGCAGCATCTCCTACAGATCTCCATTTCAAAAAGTAGTGGAATTGAAAAACATGTCCACACCTCTTATATAAGAATTTCATAGCAGTGTTATTCATAATAACCTAAAAGGGAGAGAGAGAGTGGGGGGGGGGGGTTCCTAATGTACTTTAACTGATGAATGGATTTACTAGAATGTGGTATATACATATAATGGAATATTATTTGGCTGTAAAAAGGAAATGAAGTAATGATACATGCTACCACATGAATGGACCTCAAAACATGCTAAGTGAAAGAAGCCAGACACAAAAGGCTCTATATTGCATGATTACATTCTCAGATGCTCCTCAACTTATGGATTGGGTTTCCATCCCAATAAACCATCATAAATTGAAAATGTCATAAGTTTAAAATGTACTTTACCTACTGAACATCAGAGTTTAACAACACACTACACCCTAGAGCACTAATTGTTCCCCATCATGACCACACAGCTACCTGGGAGCCCCTGCTCCTGGCTACCACCCAGAAGCATCACAGGAAAATATTGTAGGGCATATTGCTAGCCCAGAAAAAGATCAAAATTCAAAATTTGACATATGGTTTCTATTATGTACTGCTTTCACACCATTACAGAGTTAAGAAGTTGTAAGTCAGACCCAAATGTCTATAAAACATTTCAAATAGGCAAATCTATACATACAGAAAGCAAATTAGTTGATAATAAGAAATGGGGTAAGGGAAAAATGGGTAGTGACTGCTGCTGGGTACAGAGTTCTTTTGGAAATGATGGAAATATTCTGGAATAAGATATTAGTCATTGATGGACAACATTATGAATATTCTAAAAACCACTGGATTGTATTGGATTTTATCTCAAGTTTTAAAGAATCTATCTTTTAAAAAAGCTTTGGGAAGCAGTACATAATATACTTCAATACATACGATTTGGAATCCAGCAAACCTGGTTCCAGTCTGAGCTCCGGCTGACTTGTGTCATTGGGCCAGCTCTTTCATTGCTCTCAGTTTCTTCAGCTACTAAAATACCAACCTCAGGGTGTGGCTGTGAAGAGTGAATACATCATGCATGTAAGATCTGCATGCTGCTAATACATCGTAGGTATTCAATAAGTCATGATGAAATTGAAGAGATTTAAAATTTTCAATTTTGCATCCCCCTATAAATTCTTATATGAAATTGAAATGAATGTAGAGATGACCAAAAGATGGGAAGTTCAAGGTGAAAGTTTGGTAATTTGCTTGTAAGATGAATTTCTTCTTCATTTGGCGGCTAACTAAATTGTTAAAAGCTCAGCCTAATTATACCTTCATTGGGACATTTTTAATGAGTCCACTTGTCTCTTTAGTTCTTAAGTATTTTGGAAGAGCCAGTAGAATACAAAGTAAAACATTTGATTTTTCCCTTCTTATCATCTTATTTAATTTAAATGCAATATCACTGACCATTCTGATCTAGTTGTGGGAAGAAAAAGAGGTGAAATTTTATTTTTATGGTCTGATTTGCAAAAGCCATTCTCCCTTTTCTGTTTCCAGTACCTCTTTAAATGCTAAAGAGGTATTTCTCTTTGTCTACATATGCAAACTCCCTTAGAGCTTCCTACTTGTTTCTCTTCTGTATGTGTGTGCCACTTGGTTTCTCTCATTACAAAGTGCTAATGAGTCTTCTCCAGGGTTACACTGGATGCTTTTAAGTCAACAGCATTCCAGTTTCTTTTCTGGACATTGGTTGTTTGAAACAATTTGGTCACTGTTTGTAGACAGAATTCTAACCACCCAGAAGAAACTCAGTTTTAGCAACCGGATATGCGGATCAGTTAGGAAAATCCCTGTAGTGGGGGTAATCCTTTCTGTCTGTATTTAATGGGTCAAGTCTAAGAGGAACAAGGGTTACAAAGGCCTGCCTGTTTGGTAAGGAAGAATTGGCTTCTCTTTTCTTTATTGTCTACCTTCAGGATTTCAATGATGAGTTTTCAGATCTGGATGGAGTCATTGGACAAAGAAGGAAAGATATGGAAGGATACAGCAGCTCTGGTTCCCAGACTCCTGAATCTGAGAACTCTCGAGGTGTGGGAAATGTTTGTACCTTGACTACAGTTTAATTTCTACAGAACACTCCTACTCTGCCCCCTTAAAAACAAAAGCCTACCTTGTGTTCCTAGTTAAGAGTTGTAAAATAAATCTGGAAAATGGATAACTTTAAAGCTCAAGGGAAAGGAATTACATATGTGGTAAAAATTAATTTCCTTGTAGACACTTAACAAATGTCTCTTAAATAGACTTAGTATTAGGATGGTTGAGAGAGATCAACATGTAGTATTTTCTTCCTTTTTATTTCAGTAACCATATTAATTGCTATAGCTGAATGTTTAGATGTTGGTGGGGTACCCTTATATCATCACTTACTTGCTTGAGATTGGATTTCAATCCCCAACCACCTCAACCAATTTATGAGAAGATCCATTTATTTACTTGGTCATTATGCAGATTAAAGGCCTGATTTGCACTGCGGCTGGTCTTATGTTTTTCAATGCATTGAGAAGAAAACTGAACCAGCCTCTTTTTGGCATGGTAGATTTCCATGTGACTGAATCCCAGACTGTTCTGAATGTCTCCAAGGCAGAAGTGAAACCAGCTCAGGCAGATACCCATGTGAACAGAGTGTCTGAAGGAAAAGCCAAGAGTCTCCCTGCACATGGTAAGAAACAGAATTTTTTTTGAAGAGGAAGGAATTTCTGTTTGTAACTTTTTAAATACCCCAATGTTTCACTTATGACTGCCTTTCATATTCCCTTCCCTTTCTCCTCATTGTAGGTCTTTGCATATTAGCTCTCACTTATTCATTACACAAAAAGTACCCAGTCCAGTTTACTATGGGAGATACACAGGATTAACCTTTATGGAGGTCACTTCAATATTGTGAATACTTTGAGATTATGATCTAAAAATTGGTGACAAGGACCAGGGATTTAGCTCAGTGGTTCCGGCGCCTGCCTCGCAAGCACAAGGTCCCAAGTTCGATCCCCGGTACCAAAAAAAAAAAAGGAATAAAAATTAGTGATAAAACTCAAATTACTGAATTATTTCTTTATTTACTAATTATTTCTTTATTTAATAATTATTGTAGTAACTAGTAACGTGTTAGACTAGATTAAGAGCAAAGATGGTATTAATATCGCTCTCCATTGAATTCAACGCAATACTCAACATAGAAAAGACCTGCAGTAAATATGTATTGAATAAATTGTGTTGAGAAGAATTGAAACTATTGCTTAAAATGACACGTGGATGGCTTCAGTTAATATTTTCTAATTTCTTTGACCTGAGAATGGTTATCTATCTCAGGTACCTCTTCCTTCTTGGCACATGGCTAGGTGAAGAAAATGTATATGGTGTTAAACTATTGCTTTCGGGTTTCCACCCAACAGGTCAGTCAGAAACAATTGGAATCTTGCATAAAGTCAAGTCTCAGAAATATCTGACTCTCCACCATATTCTTATATTCTACGCAATTGTGTAAGTAAATATATTTACTACGCATGACTTACATGAATGATTCAGTTCCCTAAAGGGAGACCTGTTCACGTTACCATGAGCCATTGTAAACCTCAAATGTTTCTAATGTGACTCAAATATAGTCGTTGGCAGTTTCTGTTTCCTACTTTGTTTTGTTTTGTTTTTCTTTAGATGTAGGTCATTTTTTATAATAATTATGCCCTGCCTGCAAGCACAGAGGAGGTAAGCTGCACCCAGAACACAAGAGGAGCCTTCCGGGCCACTGTACCACCTCCATCAGCACAGAGGAGGGGAGCCACTCCCAGTCCACAAGAGGAGGCTTCCGGGCCACCTTACCACCCCTCCAGCACAAAGGAGGTGAGCCATGTGGGCACCAGAAGCAACACCTCCCACCCCCCATTCGAAATGAGAAGTCACATAAACAAGTCTCAAAATCAGACTTCCAGATCACCTACAGCAACCCCAAAGGGAAACGAGATGGAACACTCTGATACTCAACCACCTGGACTCCCTCAACTGGCAACAAAAGAGGATCTGGAAAAAATGAAAACAGAAATAATTTCTCAGATAACAGCAGAGATTGTGCTCATAGTGCAAGACACAATTAATAACTCTAGAGAAGAGCACAGGAACATGATGGAATCCCAACATAGGAAACAAATGGCATCCATAAAACAGATACAAATAGATTTCCAGGAAATTAAAAACTCCACTGAAAGTCTATGCAGCAGAATGAGCCAATGTGAGGACAGAATTTCAGATATATAAGATAAGATTGCAATTCAGTGACCAGGAAAAGAAAAATTGCTTTAAAATTGTAAGGGACCACGAGAAATCAATCCAGCAGCTGCTAGACAATGCAAAGAAGAATAACATAAGACTGATTTGAGTCAATGAAGAAACAGGAGAGAGTGCAAATGACATAAAAAAAAAAATTCACAGATGTGATGGCAGAAAACTTCCCAAGGAGGGGAAAAGAACTTGACATACATAAGTGAGACATATAGGACTCCAACTAGCCTTGATGAAAATAATCTACACATAGGCATATAATAGTTAAGATTCCAGAAACCCAACAGAAGAACAAAATTCTACAAGCAGTTAGAGAAAATAACAAATCACATACAAAGGATAGCCCATCAGAATCACAGCAGACTTCTCAATGCAAAACCTCGAGGCAAGAAGAGCTTGGAATGATGTATTCCAAGCCCTAAAGGAAAACAGCCTCCAACCCAGATTGATGTACCTTGCAAAACTATCTTTCAAAATTGATGGAGAAATAAGATACTTTCATGACAAAGAGCACCTTAGGAACTTC